GGTCTGTGGTATTATTAGTATCCTAGTCCTAGTCATAGTTATTCTAGTTGTTGATTGCGATCTCGATGCCACCATCTACCCAGCACACCTAAACCACTAATTCTATAGTATTAAAAAAGCCCTTCAGAAGCTGCAAGGGCTGCGATTTGGCGGAGCCCCATGCGGGCGATGTTCCTGCCTCGGGGCATTGGAGGGCTTTGCTGCTTGCGACGAAAGTTTGCAGCTTTTCGGTGGGCACCACGTCGTCTTCGTCAGTTATGTCTGCACAGCAGAACTTAAAGACGGACTGCACCACAGGCGGAAAGTTCCCCTGCCTCGACAATGACGGAGGCGACTGAGCAGCCTGGCTGCGAAGAGGGGTTACTGCCGATACTGCCTGCTCTGTGCCAAGCACAGCACTCCAGGACACCTCATGTCATCGTCCCACGGCGGTTGATGAGTTCAGTTCCTTGATGGCGAAGAATCGTCCAGCACTCCCGCTGTCCGCGTACCGGTCCCGCCTTCGAATTGTCTCGCAAGCCAACGGCACGGGAGTTCGGGCGGGGCTTAGGGGCCTAGGCAAAAGGAGCCACCCACGACTGAACTCCGAAGTGAAATCGCCCACGACCCTCCCGGATCCCGAATGATGGAGGACCGCTACGCCTATAAACCGTGCTTAAACCCGAAACGTCCTAAACCACCGTGCGTTTCGTTCGTCTTCTTTTTTGTTGAAAAAATTGGCCGAAGCCGGATCACTTTTTTTCTTAGGGTCCTCCACCCTAAACCCGATGCCAAAATAATCTGAAAACCCTGTAATATTGAAACCTGGCTCCTCCTTCGACATGGCATGTCAACCCGAAGCAGCAAAGTACCTCAATCAAAGCCAAGCCAAGAAACAAGGCTATGAATGAATTTATGATAATCCGAAATGTAACCCCGAATGGCAAAGAAGACCTGAAGTCGCAAAATGCGATTGTCCCGACACTGTAAAGTCTCAACGCCCAGACCCGGCAAACCCACAACGCTGAACCCAAACCTGAAAACCCTTAACCACAAAACCCCTGTCCCAGAACCCAGAACCCCGTTCGTAAAGGCCAACACCTGATTACCCCAAACCCGGCTAATCAATTCAGCAATTGCCCGAAGTTACGTGACCACCCGGCCAAGGAACCACCCAAACCTTGAAGCCGAAGACCTAGACTGGACGCAAACCAAAACCAAAAGTCCTACAGCCTACCTAGGCTATAGGAACCCGAGCTGCAAACTATCCTAGAGTCCTATAGCACAAACTTTACAACCCAGAATACCTAGAATCCCAGAAAATGCTCGATGGCAACCCCAACTCCAAAACTGGCCTAAGGCATGAACGTCACAAACCAGCATCCTAGGTCCTGTAAGCGCAATCCCTAGTCACCCTAGCCCTCGTCACCCTAGGCCCTAGTCCGAAACTTCTAAGCCAGCTCTAGTCTAAACAAGGCTCTCAAGTTTAAAGTCATGAGGAAGCCCAATGACATGATGTCCCATGCACCGGTCAAGCCTTCTCCAAGCCATGGAACTACCGTCGCCAAAGAAGGCCTGGTTTCAGTCTGCCGAGGCCCGATTCAGGATACGAATGCCAACTTCATTCAGGGGGCTTTATACCAAGAATCAGACAGTTGCAGAGACTTTTGACTGGTTCAATGTCGTGCACGCAATACACTGGTTTACCCAGCGGGCCACGATTTACTGGGATGTATGGTAAGTACACAGATCGTCAATTCGTACAACCAACATGCATTCGACCTGACATGAAGCTAAGCGCAAACCCCTCAGATCTAACCGAATCTAACCCGGAGCCCTCAGCCCTGAACCCACCGCCGTTGCCAATCAACCCCGACTACTCGGGACCCTCCACTCCTTCCTTCCTCGATCCATGCCTCAGACCATACCAAACCTAGAATCAACCGGAGCTGACACTTGAGAACTAGTTGAAATGCACGTGTGCGGATGACACACCATGAAATCAGTATAAAAGCCCACAAGCCTAGATTCGGCCGTCTTCGATGGCAGGCCCCAACAAATCCAACCCGAAACACGCTACAACCAAATGCCGCAACGAACCTAAACTAGACTAGACCCACAAGCTCAATTTCGGGGCTCAGGGCTTAAGATGGGCACTGTGATAGGGCCCATCGCTAGGATAGGATAGGCTTGGGGTCTAGCCTGTGAGAGGGCTCAGAACGGGCGCACGGGCACTGTGGCTAGCTACAGAGAGATCCCCAAACCCACACCTGGTTTCGTTGCCTTGGCACTGCCAAGGCTGCCAGCAATGCACAGGAGGCCAGACGTGACTGGCCAGATTCCGGGATGTTCGGGAGATCAGGGGGCTTAATCTATCAGATGTCTTGGAGCCTTGCACTTGTGAGAGGCAGCTACGTCCTGCGGTTCTGTTGGGAGTGGCGGAAATACGGGTTTGGGCTTGCGGCCTGCGGAGTTCTGGTTCACGTTCATGTACGGCCAATGCCTACAGCTACTCAGCTACCGGCTGGCATTATTTCGGTGGCGACCTATGGTTTCTTTATGTCAGGACTAAACCTGATTCAAGCGTGACGGTCGCCTCAGCATCGTGCAGCGCCGCTGCAACGAATTGCTGGCATGTGGCCGAGGAGGGTTCAGGCTAAAACCGGAAGATCGGGCTGTTGGGGACCTTCGCCGCCACCGCGCCTAAAGCCGGCCTAGAAGTATAGGACTAGAGTACCCTACTTCTGCCGCAGCTGGAGCTCCAGCTTAGTCACCTACGTAGGGCTTAAGTGATCTCCATTTTAAGGTACCAGGACCTTAGTAGGGTTGGGTACACTAGCAGCCTAAGTAGGGCCTGCAGGGGGGTTGGGGCCGAATTACGCATGCACCACGTCATCTTCTGGCCAGTCTTCCTGTGTGTGGCCTCTCGGCGCTCGGCCTTTTGTTGGTGCCGGAATACAGATGCGATTCTTGCATCTTTTTTTTTCCTGGTCCCGGCGAAAAGACGACGACCAACCGGTCGATGCACGTACTGGGCAACCAACTGATGCTACCGCTGTCTGCGGTCGGTCGGCAGCACGTACTGGGCAACCAACTGATGCTACCGCTGTCTGCGGTCGGTCGGCACCAACTCCTGGTGCAAGTGCAGCGAGGGATTATGACCCTGGACTGGTCCCGGATTGACCACAACCGAGGCATGCGTGCCTGTCTCGCCGTGTCAGTGTGGCGGTTCCGAGTGGCTGTAGATCGGAGGGAGGCTATGGTGTTTGGGGTTTGGGGGCCGTGGGCTGGCCTGGGTTTATGCGTAGAATTGAACGCCTAAGCCTAGGAAGAATCCTCGCTCCCCCCGCAACCCAATAGCCCGGAGCAAAAGCCACAATGCCAGTTTCGGGGGGGTTTAGGGCTACCCATGTACGCAGCTACACAAGCTTTAACTCCCAGAAACCCCAACAGAAACTAAATTTCAGGTAACAGTAGAACTCAAGAACTGGATGTCTTTTTCCAAAACCCAATCCTTAATTAAACCCCAACCCAAACCGCAAACCCAGCACAAAGCAACAACAAGACTGTATATCAGCTTCCAACACCTAATGAATCCTTCAACCCGGACCCCAACCCGAACTTATCATCTCAGAAACCATGAAAAAATGCGAAAGAGATGCCGCTGCAGCCCGAAAGCTTTATGACTCCATGTGAGGCTGTATAACCCTAAAGCCTAAAATCATCTAACTGTAAACCCCGGACCCTCGAGCCCTCCAATCCCAAAGGCCAAAACAAACCCAACACCCTGCACCCCTGCAAGCTTGGAATCCAGCAGTAAACCTATCCTATTCGCATGAGACGACCGCTTAGATGCCATGAGGGTTGCGAAGTTTGGAACCTAAACCCAGAAAACTCCAGAAGCCTCATAAGACAGACCCCAAAAGCCTGGCAAGCTGCTAACGCTTCAGGTCGCTCGCGAATACACACAGACTGCTTCAAGACGAACTTCAAAGCAGGATTTATAAGGTGTGGGACGAAGCTGTCTAGTGGAATGGAACCCCAAGGGCAGTCAGACTCGCATCAGGAAACCGGTCCCACACGTAGACCTAAGAGTAACCTAGGAATAAAAAGGGTGCCCTTTTTGGTTTAAAGGGGCTTATAAGGGAACCTGAACCCTAAAAAAGGGAATAAGGGCCTACTCTGGGTCCTACATGAACCTTGCTAAATGACTAACACTACCACAGCATGTCAGTGTCAACCCAAACATGATTTCCCACTTCGCACTCATGATGCCAACACACGTACATTAAATGGATGCTCCGATGAGGCCAGGGAGGGTATGGTAATATAGTACTTACTGTCAAAGGACGTGGCATGCTTGAACAATGACAACTAGAAGCAGAAGGGCTTACATCGCTCTGTGGCTTGCGGGGCTTCTTGCCTCAGGGCCTCACCTCTTATCATTGCCAGGCTGATAGCCGCGAGCTATTGGGTTCACACACTTCGATTCAGAGTTACGACACGATTGAACGGCATTTCCGCCAGGACTGGAGCTGCCACCCTAAGGTTATTACAAGCAATCCCAACCCCAAAGCTTCCAGAACACAGCCTCAGGACGTCCATGAAGCCGACGGCGAAGGGCCTGCACAGAGAGGTCAGGCAGCAATGAGTGACCCGAGCCCCTATCCGTCTTCCAGTCACAGACAATGGCAGAGTCAGACAAAGACTGATACCGATGATCCCTCCAGCTTGGCTTTCTGCTGTCAAGTGTGCAATGAAGTAAGTTCAGTCCAAGCTGACACCCTTGCATGGGGCGATGTCACCAGCAAGCCCTCCAAAGCCTCTTGCAATATGACTCTTGCCGCAGCACTTTTCTCACCACACGCAGATGCTAGGCCTGCGAAGTTCGGAGTCTTTGACTTCAGCAGCTGTCTTGTGTGGGAGGGGAGGCCCCGAATCACTGCACTCATGAGCATGCTGCCTTAGAAAATTAAGTTCAATCTCCGTCCCAGCCAAAACGACCAGGCTGCTGAGTCTCATCAGTCGTGAAACTTCCTAGGCATTGCCCTCATCAAGATCCTCCTCAAACTCCTCCTGAGCCTCCGGGTCCTCGTCCTCGTCCATGTTCTGCAGCAGCCCAGGGATCTCTCCGTCATCGCCGCCATACTCCTCCTGATCCTCGGTCTGTCCCGGGCAGTTGCTCGTGCTCCCAGGACGTGTCTCAATCGGGGCCTCCCGGCGGCAGGGGCCACCTCGACGACGTCTTTCTGAGGCGGTGCCAGATGAGGCCGGAAGAAACGGTCGTTGGAAGGACGCTGCAGCTCCTGTGTCACCCACTCGAGCAATTCCTTCTTCAGCAGGTCCTCGTGGAGGCTGCTTCGCACCAGAGCAATGGTGAAGAGTCGCTGCTCCATGGCTGCGGATAGCTGATTGAACTCTGGACTGAAGCTGACCAGCCGTCCCGCATCCAGAAGGTGCCACAGCTCCTGACACCAACGCTGAATTCACGGGCCTTGGTTTGAACTGCAATAGCTCAGAGCTCCTTGTGCAAGCTGCCATGTCTCGCCAGGTAATTCAACGGCTGCAGCTCCTGCCGAAGCACGTGCTTTGCAGGAGCTCGACGATGTAGCTACTCAGCAGTATGCGAAATTCAGTCCTCCTCACCGATCTCTGCTGCATGCTGCACAACATCCTCATCGTTGAGCGCCTTGGCATTGGCATCCTTCTTTTGGTTCCTGCTGTCATACTTCATGAGCACCTGAAATGCTGGGGCCACGCAACTGCTGTCTACACTGATTTCAACTCCACAAAGCCCGTCCGCCTTCTGCTTGTCGGCCTTACTCACCAATGGTCGCAGTGTGGAGGGGTGAGGGAGCGGAATCGTCAGCCAACTGGCCGACGAGTCACCAGACCTCGCATGCAACACAGAAGTCTGGACTCTACGATGATGACACTCTGGACGGACTGAAATGATGAAGCTCCTTGCTCCGAGTCGCCCGGCCGGCATTGTCAGGTGCTTGTGCGGCTTTGCATCGATGGGATTGATGCTCCGGCAGAAGTGAAAAACTTCACGTCCCACGATGTAGGTCAAGTGCCCGGCGGTGACGCCCAACGTTTTTCGCCGCTTCAGTGCCGACCTGATCGAGTGAGTGAGTGAGTGAGTGAGTGGAGCACTCCCAATCTGCAGCAAAGCAGCTCTTGATCCTCGTCCGTTCCATGTCGGAAAAGTAGCCGAGCTTCCATATCACACTGTCGAGGAAGAAGGTCCCAGGCCTGGTACCGGCCAATCTTGGCTTTGGCCAGCTGCGACCTGATACACTGGCCGGCCTTGTATGAGCCCACGTCGAAGCACCCGAACGTCGCTACCCCTGGAAACTCCGAGGCGAACATCCCAGCAGCCTTGACGTTGCCGGTGATCACGTGGGTGAACACCGACGGTGTTCTCGAATACACGTTGTGTGCTCGGGTGTAGGTTTCGGACGGCTCGGACATGACGCCTGGGTCGACGATGAAGACCACGTTTTGCCCGCGGTCCAAAGGGGGCATGCTGGAAAGGACCCTTAGCTTTTGCAGTTTATTATCAGGGTTCAGACATGACGACTGACGATCAGGCATAATTAGCAGGACCCAGCTTCGGTTTGACACGATTGTGTACCAATAATCCGTCTGCCAGGCCGTCCGAGTCGATCTGGATGAATTTCACATAATGACCTATTTCCTCCATTCCAGCCGCCTTCACGCCCCTCAGGCGGTTTTTTTCTGCCTCGTCGTTCATCGACGAGGCAGCACCGCTCGGCTCGTCCTCCTCGGTCTGCAATGCCGCCTGAGCCGCAGTCTCTGGCGCTGGCTCTGAAAGAGGGAGCGCATGCTGCCACCTCGACAAAGGATGCACTCACAGCTTCTGTTGGGACAGAGTCAGCCACCTATATTATTGCAACCAAAAGGCTCTCGCAGGACATCCTGGAACAGGGCATGTGTCCGGCTGTGCCCCAACCTGGTGGCCAGAGGGGCATCAGGAAACTCCTTGATGGTGGCCTCGAAGTCCTGACACAGTTGCCGGCATTTCTGATGGAGACTCGACTTACAAACACTCGCAGGTTCGGTCCGCATAGTGCTCGCCGCGAATGATGGCACGGAGAAGGTTGTGCACTCGCCTCGCACGGTCGGGAAGCCCGAAGATCTCGAGCTTGCCCTCCGACACCACTGTCAGGAAGCCCTCGATGGTTTTGAACGGGGTCAGGTCCCACTTCGGCACCTCCGGAAGGCTGCTGAACTTCTCGCAGAGATGGCCCAGCACCTGCTGACAGTACACAAGGACCTTGGCGATCTCCGGTGCGTTTTCCTCAGCTGTGCTACAAGAAGATCATGGCGAATCAGTAATCGCTCAGCAGCATAGAGACTGAGAGTCAAGATAGCCAAGCAGCCTTGCCCATGCTTCCCAATGCCGGCAGAACCGAGCCCCAGCTCATATCCGGATCGCGCGGTGTGCCGAACGCCCGGATCTCCAGCACTCCTGAGATTCGTCGTCGGTGAGTGACAGGAGGGAAGAGGAAGATGCCGAGGAAGGATAGGTTTCGATTTGTTCAGCCCCAATGCCAAACCTCACAACAAGTTTGGAAATCCACACCGGGCACTCTAAGCGGAAACATGCTTCAGACCCGAATCAGCCCAGGCAACCATTCACTCCGCTGGCGTACAGGCTGAATCAACTGCAAATGACTACACCCAGGATCCCCAACAAGACGTGAGTCGCATTACCTTTTTTAGATCGGGCAGCATTCGCCGCCTAGCCTTTCTTCACGGATTCATGGGTGTACATTAGCTGTCGCCCCACACAAGTAGAAGTAGTAGCAGCAGCAGCAGCAGGAGGAGCAGGAGGAGGACGAGCAGTAGTAGTAGTAGTCGGAGTAGTAGTAGTAGTAGTAGTAGTAGTAGTAGTAGTAGTAGTAGTAGTAGTAGTAGTAGTAGTAGTAGTAGTAGTAGTAGTAGTAGTAGTAGTAGTAGTAGTAGTAGTAGTAGTAGTAGTAGTAGTAGTAGTAGTAGTAGTAGTAGTAGTAGTAGTAGTAGTAGTAGTAGTAGTAGTAGTAGTACAGTAGTAGTAGTAGTAGTAGTAGTAGTAGTAGTAGTAGTAGTAGTAGTAGTAGTAGTAGTAGTAGTAGTAGTAGTAGTACTAGTAGTAGTAGTAGTAGTAGTAGTAGTAGTAGTAGTAGTAGTAGTAGTAGTAGTAGTAGTAGTAGTAGTAGTAGTAGAAGAAGTAGTAGTAGTAGTAGTAGTCAGCAATAGTCAGCAGTCAATCAGTAGTAGCCAGCAGTCATTAGTAGTAGCAGTGCCAGCAGCATTAGCAGCAGCAGCCGCGCTAATCGGCAATAGTACGAGTAGTAGCAGTAGTAGTAGTAGTAGTAGTAGTAGTAGTAGTAGTAGTAGTAGTAGTAGTAGTAGTAGTAGTAGCACGAGGACTAGTACTAGTACTAGTACGAGTACTCTTACTAGTACTAGTACTAGTAAGTAGTAGTACTAGCCTAAGTAGTAATAGTAGCCGTCGCCCTAGTAGCTGTTCTTGTAGGGTTTAGAGTTGTTTAGATTTAGGGTTAAAGGCACTACGACTAGAACAACAACAACAACAACAACAACAGCAACAACAACAACAACAGTTACTACTAGTACTACTACTACTACTACTACTACTACTACTTCTTCTTCTCCTGCTATGGCGATCACTGCTCCTACTGTTACTGCTACCTGTAGGGTGTCTAATTTGGCCTGAGGCCAAGTCTAGGAACAGCCCTCAAAGACTATAGAAATAGTTCTCTAGGCACCCTTATAAAGTAAGACCCGAATTTGCAAAACTTCCCATGGGTGCTTTGGGGGCCCAAATGGGATTGGCAGCTCTTGTGCAACGAATGCAGTTGAAAGCCCTGAACTCTAAAGCCTAGATTCTTCTTCAAGCCTTTTGCAGGCCTTCAGGGCTGGGTAAGAATCCCCAAAGCCTAGGGCCTAGTAGATGGTCAACCTCGGGACAATACCGGTCGAAATCAACCTCGCTCTCTTAACATATTTCGAAGACAACAGATAGACTACTACGCTACTACGGCTACTGCATGTTTCGTCTCTCATTGCAGCCGTGTGTCGGGCCACGAACGCGAGCTCGCTGCCACTGGAGCACGGCCCCAGAAGCCGCACAACCACGGACCATTGTCCGAGCCACGTCGGCTGGCCGCCGACAAACTGCATGTTCTGGAAAACCTCGACAACGTTCCCCTGCACAGCCCGCCCCAAAAGCCTCAAGAGCTTTTTGATCATGTCTGGCGACTTGACCTGTCATTGCAATCTGCGCTCGATGTTCTCAGTCTTCGAAAGACACACGCAAAGAGTGCACACACGAACACGTAAAAGAACCCGAAGAAGCTCCGCCTGGGACAGGCCGCTCGCATACGTGAGGCCATGCTCACGCACACGCTCGTTGAACTCGTCGAAGAGAGCCTCCGGAGTGTACTTCAGGCCCAAGCCTTTGTTCAGGCATCGAAGCCTCGGTGAGCCAAGCATCGATAGCAAATTCAATGTGTGATGGACCAACAGAGCCAAGGCACTGTTCCAGGCGCTGTGCCAGTCTCCACGCGAGATTATTCCCCTCCTGCAAGCAATCAATTCAAAACACAGGCATCTCTCCAAATGTTCAAGAACGATCCTAACTTCCAGCGGCCCGCCTCCTTGCATCGTTGTATGGCGTCCTCTCCTTGCCTGTGACACAGCCAGAACGCTTCCTTCCCATCACCGCCGGTCCGCACGATCATTCCGCAAACGGCCTGTCGGCATGGAAACTCGGTTAGCCTGGACACTGACACTGACTTTATTATTAATACGCCCCTGATGCCTCGGCACACTCCTGAAAGACGGCCGCACGGTCTTTGTCGCGGAGGCTGTCCGCAAACTCTAGGATGAAAGCGCCCAGCCGGGATAGATGGGTTGTCGCAAGAAGCTGTCCTGGCCTCAGGGTACCGAACGGCGAGAGAGGACCGAGTGACTGATGACATATCACAATCCCGCCGGCCTGACATCCACAGAGTTGGCACTGCCGGACGTGCTGGGAGCCATCAACTGGAGCACGGGCAAGGACACGGCACACTTCGGGCCGTACCAGTAACTTCTCGATCCGCTCAACTCGGCCATCGTGGGGAAGGTCAATCCCGGTCCCGGCTCCTCGAAGTTAATATCTGCCAGCTTCAAGGTCGTCACGGCCCCCGTCATTGCATCCTTCGGCAGCTTCTTTCCTCCAGGGCTGTGGCTATCATAAGACCTTGACAGCCCTACACTGGCACAACTCAATGCTGGAACACTCGTCCGGGTCCTGAAGTCACCCACCGCTTGGCCTCCTTGAGCTTCTTGATGGCCTTCTTCACCGCATCCCAGCCCTCCGACGTTGTCATCTTCATGATGGGGCCATCCTCCGGGGCTTTGGGCGAGGCCTCAGTGGCAGTGGCCTTCTTCTTGTCTCCACCGGTGCTGCGACGGGGCGCCATGGGTTCCGCAAAAGAAGCAGACTTACCGTTTCCTTCGAAATACGGCTGCTGCTGTTCTGGAGAAGGTCAGCGAGAATTTCCAACACTGCTCACGGCGAGAAAACAGTCAGTCAGACGGTCCTCCTTCGGCGGGAAAATGTGCAGATGGCTGGCATTCCGGCCTGGGCGAGCTCATCGTGCTGCTCAGGGGCTAGTGGACACGTGTGTTACCTACAATAAGGGCAGCAGCCCAATCGGCTGTAGGAAATGGACTCAACATAGCACATGACGCCTCCGACGCCGAGCCCGGGGCTCAGTGTAGGTGGTGTATACCTCAATAACAAAGGCTTCTCCTACGCCGGACAGGCAAAAGCTCAAAGCTCCAGGGCCTCGGCTGTAGGAAATGGAGTCAACATAGCACATGACGCCTCCGACGCCGAGCCCGGGGCTCAGTGTAGGAGGTGTATACCTGCATAACAGGGCCTTCTCCTACGCTAGGCAGCAAAAATAGAATTACACCGCTCACCTCTCCAATCCACGCTTCAGTTGTCGGCAGCTGCTAGAAACGGTCGCGGCAACCTGCCCCGTACAAGGCCACGCCTAAGCTTGTCAGCAAAAACCAGAAACACTGCTCACCTTCGAATCCACCCTACCGAAGACCTGACTTTTCGGCACCTTGTAGAACCGGTCCCGGCAACGTGCCCTGCCTCGTCCGTCACACAGCACGAACGTCCCCTGCCTCGTCCAGCACACAGCACACCCGGGACAACTGCCAGCAATCACAAGCCTCCAGTCACAGAAAACACTAGACCATCTGAAAAGTCCTGCCTGTGCCAGGATGGAGAGGCCTGGGCAGTGACCGTGCAAGTTTCGGCACCCTGTTCACACGGTCGCGGCAACTTGCCCCTACATCGTCCTGCCTCGTGCAGGACACACACGCCCCACAGCCGTGAGCCGGCTGTGTCATCCCATCGTCGTCGATCCTGTCCGGGCCATATAACGCAGGACCCGTCCTTCAGTCCGAGGCCAACATCATCCGGAACGAAGGTGTGACACTGTCGATTGCTTGATACCCGCATAAATTTCTCGAGCTTCTTAGTCTTCAATGGCTGCCGCCCCAGCCACTTTTTATTCCCCGGACATACAGGCAGCGACTCGGTGTCAGCGACCCTCTCGCCGCTCCCCAATCATTCTTGTGTACTCAGCATCGGCAAATTGGCGAATGCCCTTGTGGTCGCCCTGCTCTTGAGCTTTTTTTGCCTAGGTCCGAACAAGGTGTCCTAAGGCATGCGGCTTACCGAGCAGCCGTTGCTTCCTTGTATTAAGTACTATTGGACAAGCTGGAGCCAAGCAACCACAGACGATGCCAGGGTCAAAACCAACGACCAATCGTCGTGGGTCAGCGAGAAAATCCCCTTGCCAGTCTTCCTCGTTTACAAACCAAATGTGTCCAATCGGAAGATGGTCTGAGTCGGACTGCAATAGTTCGGGTTTCAGCACATTGATGTCTGTTAAATGCTGGTAGTCTTACACTTGAGCCGGGCCCCGGCTAACCTTGGCCGTCTAACCGATTCCTGACAGCAGTCACAACTTCCTCACAACATTCAAGGACATCTGGCTGACAGAAGACTTCAGCCTATCAAACACTCTTGCTTTCTGCAATCCCTGGGCCACGTCCTGTTACAGACACTGACACTGATGGACTCGGAAAAATAACTTGAACACCACCGAGGATCTTCTCACGGACAACAGCCTTGGGCTTCCCCGAACGCCAGTGCGGCTCGACCTGGTAGG